TTGGATTACTACCCAATTGTTGAATAGGGTTTGCCTGCCAACTCAGGGGATATTAAGTTAGTTGTACATCATAAACTATTCTAATATGAAGTACAACATAAAATTATTTAACATCTCCCCTGACATTCCTTTACACTATAAGAATGTCATTTGCAAAGAAAAGATATAGGATCACTTTTTTTTTTTTTTCACATTTGCACATCTTTTATTTTAGTCTCTGGAACTTCCCTTCCTTTTTTTTTTTTTAATTAGTTGGAGGCCAACCACTCTACAATATTGCAGTGGTTTTTGTCATACATTGACATGAATCAGCTATGGATTTACATGTATTCCCCATCCCGGTCCCCCCTCCCACCTCCCTCCCCATCCCATCCCTCTGGCTCTTCCCAGTGCACCAGGTCCGAGCACTCGTCTCATGCATCCAACCTGGGCTGGTGATCTGTTTCACCATAGATAATATACATGTTTCGATGCTGTTCTCTTGAAACATCCCACCCTCGCCTTCTCCCACAGAGTCCAAAAGTCTGTTCTATACATCTGAGTCTCTTTTTCTCTTTTGCATATAGGGTTACCGTTACCATCTTTCTAAATTCCATATATATGTGTTAGTATACTGTAATGGTCTTTATCTTTCTGGCCTACTTCACTCTGTATAATGGGCTCCAGTTTCATCCATCTCATTAGAACTGATTCAAATGAATTCTTTTTAATGGCTGAGTAATATTCCATGGTGTGTATGTACCACAGCTTCCTCATCCACTCGTCTGCTGATGGGCATCTAGGTTGCTTCCATGTCCTGGCTATTATAAAACAGTGCTGCGATGAACATTGGGGTGCACGTGTCTCTTTCAGATCTGGTTTCCTCAGTGTGTATGCCCAGAAGTGGGATTGCTGGGTCATATGGCAGTTCTATTTCCAGGTTTTTTAAAATCTCCACACTGTTTTCCATAGCGGCTGTACTAGTTTGCATTCCCACCAAGAGTGTAAGAGGGTTCCCTTTTCTCCACACCCTCTCCAGCATTTATTGCTTGTAGACTTTTGGATAGCAGCCATAGGATCACTTTTATAAAGAAAAAAGTTTAATTGGTAAATAAAAATTAACTCTAGTCTCCGCAAAGCTTTACCAATAGAAAAATGTAAGTGAAAGGACGATATAAGAAATTGAAAACCTAATAAATGAGCATGTCTCAAGCCATCTCTCAGGGCATTTCAACTCCTCTAAATTTGTCTCTCAGAAGTTACTGTTGAATTAATCCTCAAATCCAACAAAAGTATGGACATGAATTTACTCCTCGGTCTCTATCACCTTCATTGTCACAGCTGGTGAGGTCCGGGCCATCAAATCCTTGCTAGATATCCACTTTGAAACCATGATAAATAGTTTGTCATTAGATCTGCAGCCACTGCAAGACAGTCACACAGGAAATGATGGCAAGTGTAACAGCAAGACGTTTAGAAATGGCAAACACTGAAGCAATGATCTGATGTGTTGTCCTAGTGTCTGAAATACCCTGCCGTGGAGATGTACTTTATAAAATACGTAGTGTGAACTATGAAGCTGTAGCTCCAAAGCAGTGTATTTTAAACGAGAGAAAAGGAAAAGGATTCATGCTTTAAATTATTGAAATTCACCTTCACCTATAAAAACCTCAGACGATCTATTCTATCATAGTAGATAAAAATGGTCATAGGTTTTCCAAACTGGTAACTCTCTTCCCAAATACAGCCTTACACAAATACACTTTTCAGGGACTTCTTTCTCTTTAAAAATACCATTGAACTGTTTATGGTTCTTCAGGATTACATGTTGCGCTAGAATTATAAATATGTATAAATATGCAGATGCTCTATCGAATCATTCCTTATCCCATTTGTATTTCCGAAGTTGTGTAAGATAACCTTTGTGGCTTTCCAAAACATCTTCTCTCACCCCAAGGGGCAAATTACCTCTATTTTCATTTCCTTTAGAGTTAGATCATTTTATAATTAAGAACTTATTGAAGCAGAGTCTCCCCACGTGTAAGTTACTCCCTGGGGAGTAATTTATGCAAAGAGTGCCTCTGACTTAATATCATATAAGCCTAACAACTGTACAATGGATACCTGGCATTTTTAGTCAGTTTTGCAATCACTGAAAAAAAATTCATAGCTGGAAATGTTACTCAAAAAAAAAAAAAGTACAAATAACTTATAGTGTCATTCATTTGGGCTTTTTAATGGTAAGATTTTTAATAAAGGAATGTGTCTTATATTTTTTTGTTCAAAAACATCAGAAATACCAGCTAATGATGATGTTTTTGATTGTGATGATGAAGACTGACATTTTGTAGCTCTTTATTATTTACAAGGTAAAAATAACTCATTTAATCCTCACAAATCTATGAAGTTTGTCAGCTAAACTTTCTAAACCAGAAAACAAGATCAGAATTTTTTTTCCTTGGTCCAGTCATTAACAGGTTAGGGACTGGAATCCAGGGGAATGGAACAAAACAGAGTGATATAAAATCTTACATTTTTTTAATATCACAAAATTTTGAAAACAAATACTAGTTCATATATAAGAAGAGAAGCAAATAGAAATACTTAGTCTAGTAAGTTTTTTTCTTTGGATTTGTCTCCTCTTCTGATATTTTTATTTTCATCTCTTTAACTGCTACATTTGAATAATATAGGAATTCAAAATTGTATTTGTATTGTATCTTTGTGGGAGGCAGTGAAAGGGTTACTGAATGAACTATCAGGACAATCAGCTAATTTCCAGTTGTTTTTTCCCAAGTCACCTTAAGAGCATCATTAATGACCTGAATCCTCAGTATTCTCATCTGAAAAATAGAGACATAACACTGAATTTTTTGCTTATAAAGATGATATGAACTTCTTGTGAAATATTTAATTTAAAAAATTTACTGTGCTTCCCTAAAGCTAAGTATTTTTTAATACTTAAAGCTACATTATTTTTTAAAGTAGGATGGTAAGAAAAAGAAGGTTATGTCATTGCATATTTGTTTTGCATATTCAAGGGTGAGAAACTGCATAAAAGCATCCAAGTGGCAGATTGATGTATTTTGAAGCATATTTTGCATAATTATTTTAAATTGGGAGTGGGAATAGCAGATCTTCCTAGTGTGTGTAATTTTAACAACACTGAGAATACTATCAGAGACATGGGAACTACTACATTCTAAATAAAGTTTATATCATGGATTCATCCATAACCTCAAAGATGATGACTTAAAATCATCTTTCTAAGAGGTTCTATACGTGTTCTGTAAGACATGACACTAAATAGCACACACACAAAATGGAAATCCTATGCCCTACCATATTCCACAAAGGAATTGCCTCACCAACCACCCATTTATGTCATCTACTATTTAATCCTACACTGAAGGCTGGGAAGCTATAAGCCACCTTTGATTCTTCATCAGTTTCCACCTCTCTCATTTATCTTCCCATTTCTTTCATTGAGCTATCTTTATTTGCTGCTTCTTCTGCATTTATCCTGCTACTGAGGTAATTCACGCTTTCAGCTCCTGACCCCCAGGTTGGGAATTTTAATTAGTCTTCCATTTGTTTCTGGTCAACCTGCCAAATTTACCTTTCTAAAGTAACCAAACCACCACTTTCGCCATTTCTTCATTCACGTCTTTGGTTCCTTATAGCCAGTGATGTCAGAAAATTCTTCTGCCTGATCCCCAGGAACTTCATAATCTGATATCACTCCCTCTATCCAATTTTATGACCCAAGTTTCCATTAGAGCCAAGTTGCTTGGCTCAGTGACCACAAGCCACAATCATTCGGGGCCATCTTAATTCCATCCTGCTTGCAGAAATGCCTTTTGCCTCGCACTTCCTACACAGTTTTCAAAATCAAAATATCTTTATCTCCAGTGAAATTGTTTCAGTCCTGTTGAAGCGATAGTACTCACATGCTTTGGGCTTCCCAGGTGTCGCTAGTGGTAAAGAACCTGCCTGCCAATGCAGGAGACTAAGAGACTCTGGTTTGATCACTGAGTCAGGAAGATCCCCTGGAGGAGGGCATGGCAGTATTCTTGTATTCTTGCTCCAGTATTCTTGCCTGGAGAATCCCATGGACAATCCCTGGTGGTTGCAAAAGAGTCGGACACAACTGAAGTGACTTAGCATGTACCCATATGCTTTATCACTTTTCCCTTGATATCTCCATGTATTAATTTTGGTTTATTGATTAGATAATTGGTGTCATTAGTATATCTTATGTCAACAGCCTTTATTATTTTAGTGGATATATAGATACTCAATAAATATTGGACAGATTCTTTGTTGACATTTTCATAAGTAAACCTCCAGCCATTTAGTGTATGAAATCACCTCTACCCCTTCCAGTTTTGTTTTATTTACTCATTTAAAATATCATTGAAAAAGGTAATGTGATCATTCTCAGTGACCTAAAGTTTGAAGTACAAAAATAAAACCAAAACCACAGGTTCAAGAGATTTTTAAGTCACACTACATGAAGTTCGAAAAGGAAAAAACAATGAAAGCAAAAGTCTAGAAAACTTCTAGTCCCTGGTTATATTTTCTAGGTTAAGGAAAACAAAACAAAGAATGGTAAATGGATGCCCTTTATTTAAAAGGGATTCCCAGGTGCCTCGGTGATAGAGCATCCCTCTGCCGCATACGCAGAGACACAGGTTAGATCTGTGAGTTGGGACGATCCCCTGGAGGAGGAAATAGCAACCCAGTTAAGTATTCTTACCTGGAGAATCCCATGGACAGAGGAGCCTGGCAGGCTACAGTCCATGAGGTTGCAGAGTCAGATATGACTGAGGGACTGACCACCTCCAGGTTACTTAGAAGAAGCTTAGAGCAGCCTTTCAGATGGAATAGGTGACCCTACACCCCACCCCCAAACACTGAGTCTTCAACACTGAGTCATGGCAGGAGAAGTGAGGAGGGAGATGGGAGGGTGAAAGGAAGACAACTCTGTAAGCTCAAAACTGTCTGTTTTCCCCTTTCAGCACAAATTGAAGTGATACCATGCAAAATTTGTGGCGATAAGTCGTCTGGGATCCACTACGGAGTCATCACGTGTGAAGGCTGCAAGGTACGGGCTTTAACAAGGCACAGCTGACAGTGTCTGTGTTGGCCGCAGGCGTCTGTGTGCGTCACAATGCAGGAGGTGACAGCTTTTGAAAGGCCTGCTAAAGGATTCTTATCCTGCTGCTGACACTCAGGAATTCTTGCTTGGTGGTGGGTGGGTTGATTTTCTGTTACTTGGCCTTTCACCTTTTTGTCATTGTCTAACTCATTAGGAGCTGCTTAGAAATGGATTGCTATTTAAAAGCCTCAGTTATTTACTTTTACCAAAATATAAATACTGATGTGCTCTGTATTAACAGTCTTGTGTCCAGTAAACTCCAGCACGTTGATATCAACATTAAAGTTTAAGTTAAAGCTGTATTTGTTTATCTGCTTGAGAAAGCAGTCAAGGTAACATTTGCAATACGCTTGTGACTATCCTTTATTCTCATATTTCCAAAAAAAAAACAAAAACAAAAACTAGAAGGATGAAATCTTAAAAGTGGAGCAGATAACCTGTTGTCAGTTAAAAATAATCTGCCTCAATTTCATCAAAGAGGTCCTGAGCTATTAACAAGATTATGTCATATGGCCAGTATCACTGATCTAGTTCATGAGAGAACATGAACAAACATTTTTTTTTTTCATTCTCAGTCCAGTGTTCCCCTCCACGACAAATCCAACTAATTCTTCCAATTCCTATAAGCAAGTTGATTTTCAAAATCTTAAAACTGGAGGAATAGCAGTTAACATAGACTAATCTTTAAGAGAAATTTGAAATTTAAGAGTAAATGTTTAAATTCAATCCTTAGAAGGTAGGAAAGATGAGAGACTAAATATCAAGGGGAAAATGAAAACAGTTCTACAACTAATTTTAAAGGGCACTGTGTAACCAGAACAAATGAAATGAAGCTATAGTCCAGGAGGGGAAATCGATAGACTGGCAAAGTTACTGGTAAAAGCAATTATATTTTTGATCAAAGATGCAAGCTGAGTGAATCATTAATTTAAGGTCAGTAGAATGAAAGAGATGTGGCACAACCACAGATTCTAAGAACCACCCTTAATCTTATAAGACGTTCGGATATAAATGAAACAAAACGTACTGAAACTCAGATAGTCATGCTATGTGAAAAATTGGCAGTATCTTCATAACAGTCTCGAAGAAGTATAATTCCTGGAATTGAAACTGGAAGGAAAGGAAAAAAAAAAAGATTAAATGAGAATAAAGTCAGGAGAGGGAATGCAGAGGGGGAAGAATAACACACATGTACTAACCCAGCAACATACCAACCTGCTTTAGAGGTGATAAGCAATAATCCATGTTTGAATATCATGAGATGTGCCTTGTATTCTGTTCTTCTGCAGACCTATAATTCAGAATTGCATGTTATCCACCTTAATGTGCCTCAACTTATCTCATGAAACAGTAAAGAAAAATTACAGACCAGCATTTTTTTTTTACTCTTAAAATAAGTTAATACTTCCTCCAGGCAGATAGAAAATTTTCTTCATAAAAAAGAATAATTTGGGAATCAGACCCCTCTCCAGTGAAATCACTCCCACTGTGTAGGTTTATTATACAATTTTAAGAGCTCTGGTTTAGTTTATACACTATCCATGGAAAAAAAAAAGGACTTCCCTGGTGACTCAGATGGTAAAGAATCTGCCTGCAATACCAGAGAACCAGGTTCAATCCCTGGGTCAGGAAGATGCCCTAGAGAAGAGAATGGCAACCCACTCCAGTATTCTTGCATGGAGAATTCCATGAACAGAGGAGCCTGACAGGACACAGTCTATGGATTCGCAAAGTGTCAGACAGAACTGAGTGACTAACACCATCATCATGGTGATGGTGATTTTAGACCACTGTCAAAGTGGAAATGTTTCGTTTCATTGTATACAGCTGGATTTATAAATGTCTGATTTCAAAATATGAATCTGTGGTTTTGTTAAGGAGCTAAACAGTTTTAAGCAGTAATTTTTAAACTATTGAACTACTTAACAAATATATTCCAACAGGTCAATAGCCAAGAACAAGTGCTTAGGTTCCTGTCATCTTTTCTATTTAAAGAAGGAACCCACAATCAAAGAATTTGTGTTTGTTATTTTGAAGCATATTCTGAGGTTTTAGTCAAAATGACATTGTACATCACACAAATTTTTTTATTTCATGGCAAAACCCACATTTGTAAATATGCTACGTTTTTCTCCAAATAGGAAACTCAAGAAATTCTGCTCAGAATAAGATATCAATGTCAGCACATTTAGTATCAACCTCTGAATTTTCATAATCCTGTTTTCGGGTCAACATAAACAACCCACATTAAAAAACATCATTTCAGCGTGTGCACTTGTTCAGATTCCTTTTCATTCAATAAAAATTTAAAACGAAACCTCCTTTTCATGCCAAAAATCTCATTTGCAATAATGAGCAACAGATAAGCAAGAAATGCCTTACAATTAATGTCAAATTGGCCTTAAATTAGGGCTGTAGCTGTGACTTCAAAAAAAGTCTTTTCTGTCAACTCCTTTGCTAAGTGGCACTTAGAGTATCCACAGATAAAAACTGCACAATTTTTTTGTAAAATGTAAATTCCAAGTCATCTTTAATCAGGACCAATGGACTGAGGTTATGCTTTCTGACAGCTTTCACGGTAGATGAAGTACATCATTTCAATCCCTGGGGGCTTGGATGTGATCTCTTGTTTAAGGGCTCTGTGAATTCTTTCAAACTGGACAGTTGGATATCTTATTTTGCCACCACTGGTCCATTAAATAAATAATACACTTGGAACTGTGGGGGCAAAATTAGTCCTTGTTGAATGGCTTGGGGCTTATAAACATACAACCTTATAGAGGAGATACTTGGCCATGCTTCATTTTCTGAGTTTTTCACAAGATTGGCCAAGCTCTCTGTTGCAGGGCTTTGCCAAGCCATATGGAAGCCTAAGACAAAAGGAAAATCGATAATTTAAATTCTGCTTTTATTTAAATTTTTGAGGGGTTTGCATTAATGTTGATTTTTAACATTTAAAATCAGTGTTAAAATATTTATCCTGAGTGCCACATCTTTTAGCAACCCTTAAATATGTGACCAAGATGGTTGCCTCACCAGCCTCACCCTGGTCCCAGCCCTGCTCTATCCTCCCATTGATAGTTGAGGAAACATGGAAGCTATTTGACAGAAGAAGTCAGGTGTCCACTTCCAGACCTCTCAGCAAGATGGGCATCATGGGCGTTGGGCAGCCCTCCTGAACCTTTTTTAGGCTTCCTGCTTCCAAGAGAGGATACTATGGGTTATCTTTTCCTAACATTTCTCTTGGTAAATCTATTTGTTTGTAGCACTTTGCACCTTTGCTGTTTTGCAATTCAAGAGCAAGGAGTGATGAGGAAAACATTAAATAGGTGAATGAAAGGGTGAAGGAAACTTTCATATCTCTGGAGAAAATGTTTATTTAGGATTTTTGCTAAGATAACTAATGTGGGTTGTAGCCAAAGAATTAGGAAAAAAAAACAACAATAAACTTAGCTGTGGATTTATTTATAAGGGTGATGTATGGTCCAAGGCAGCTCATTTTGTACTCGAAAGACCTAAACTTACTTGCTTGAGGACTTTCTATGTCACTATAGTCTGAAATAGTAACTGGAATGGGTTAATTGTGACTCCACACTGGATCTACTTCTGAGACTTTAGCGTTTATTGTGCCCTTTTGTCATTAGAGGCATACATGATGGCCTGACTCAGGGAGACATGCCCTCCTCACCAACACCCCCCACCCTTGGGCTAGGGTGCCTTTGTGTGACTCCCAGGAAGATAGCCTGACCCTGCCCGCCTGTGAAGGACTGGGATAGTCTCGAGTTCTTTGTATGGGAAACGGCCTCCAACATGGCTTGGCTCAGAAATTCACATCTGGGGGACTGGAATCATAGATAGCTGTGGCATGTTTGTTTATTGATATGACAGGAGAGATTCCATTTTACACCACCCAAGAAATGACTGTAAGGAAGTGAAACTAACACATCGGCCTGTCTGAGACTTGCCATTCTAAGAGATAGTTGCAAGTATTAAATTGTCTTCTTACTTTGTTTCCTTACCTCCCCCATCTCTGATCCATAAAAGAACCTGGCATCCAGGCCCAACAAGATGGTTATTTTGAGATGCTACTCTGCCGTCTTCTCTGTTAGCTGGCTTTCCAAATAAAGTTGTATTCCTTGCCTCAACATGTCATCTCCTGGGTTTATTGGCCTATCTTGCTGCAAGCAGAGAGGGCTTGGACTCAGTAACAAGATCAAGCAGAAGACACTGAGCTTTTACTTATTGTTTATTTTTTTAATTGGCAGTTTATAAACCATATTTCCTTTATTCAAAAGGTGTGGTTGACTCTAAGGTACATCATTGGTTAGAAATACAACCTTCCAGATACATTCTGGCCAAATACAAAAATTTCCAAATGGATGAAAATGCATCTGAAGAACTAGGAAGATAGTGGCACCTGTTGAAGCCACACTCCTCAGTACCCCAAGTTCCTCACTCACACAGCCTTGACATAAGCCTGTGTTATTGTCCCAGGTAGCGCTAGTGGTAAAGAACCTGCCTGCCAATGCAGGAGACTGAGAGACATGTGTTCGATTCCTGAGTCGAGAAGATCCCCTGAAGGAGGGCATGGCAACCCACTCCAGTGTTCTTGCCTGGAAGAATCCCATGAACAGAGGAGCCTGGCGGGCTATGTTCCATAGAATCACAAAGTCAGACACAACTGCATTAAACCAACAAGTTTTGTTGCATGTGACACTCTCCTCTGCCACTGTTTTCTCACTGCTCTCTGGGAGCAGGAACTCTGTTCTGTTTTACTTCACACAGAACAGCAAAGATGTCTTTAGTAAATATTAATGAATGAATGAATGATACCTTCATATCTTGGCAGAGAGTCCACGTTTTCTCCGATAGAAATGTCTGTAAGCTAGCCAAGGAGAGGTAGCCAGAGTTTTAAAAATTGAAGTCAGTTACTTTCACTGGAGTATATGTTAATGGTCCCTTCTCATAAATCTACCTCCCTCCCACTCTCTCTCTCCCTCTAGGGATTCTTTAGGAGGAGCCAGCAGAACAATGCCTCGTACTCCTGCCCGAGGCAGAGAAACTGTTTAATTGACAGAACCAACAGAAACCGTTGCCAGCACTGCCGACTGCAGAAGTGTCTTGCCCTAGGAATGTCAAGAGATGGTAAGGCATTGCCTTCCTATTTCTTACTTAAAGGCTTTCAAATGGATGCTTTGCTGGAATCTGTTTAAAGGGTTGGAAGAATTCTAGACAAAGAGAATTGGGGATCCAAAGTAAAGAAAGCTACATGCTGGCAGTGTATTAAGAGGAAAAGTAAGAGCATATAAATATATAATTTTGCCTATGAAATAGGAAGAAAGGAAAGACTTTCCTGTATCTCACCAAGCAACCTGTGCTAACTAGATTAGGTGAAAGCCACATAGAGTGAAAGGTGACCACTTCTCCAGGTTTCTCTGTGAATGAGGGATTTCCTGGGATGTGAGATTTTCTGAGCTAAAACTGGAAAGTTCCAGGCAGACCGGGACCACTTGGGTAAATCTGACTAGTGGGCAAGTTGCTTATTTTGTGGAGATGCTAAGGAACAAAACTTGCTTCCATAGGAAGCCCAAAAGCTCCATCAGTGAATGTGGCCTATTCAGATAAAGATAGCAGAGGCTGTAGCAGAACTCTATATGTCTTAGAAGGGTTGTGTAGATGGTGTCCTTCTCACAATAGACTCATGTGTGCACTTTATCATCACACCCAACCCAAATGGGTGGCTTGGCACCTTCTTAGATTAATGAAAGAGGACAAATAAGCTCATACAAAGAATTTCATCTAGCTTTGCTTCCATTTTTAAGTATTCAGCTAAACAAATTCTTTCCACACTGACACTGGCCATAGCACTCCTATATTGGATTATGAACAGCCCTGAGTCCTGGGGTCATTTCTGTCTAGTTCCCACTGAATCCTCAGGATCTGGTTAAAAGCAGGCACCTAAGTGTTTGCTGAATGAATCATGAAAATACTTTTTATGTAGAGCCTGAGACACAGACAAAGTCCCTGATACTCAGTCTCTCTATGTGATCATTGTGATTTCTGTGTCTCCGGTCACACTTCCTCTAATGAAGTTCCAGGTGGTATGGACAAAAAAAGAAAAAGAAATATTTCTAGATTTTAAAGAAATTTAGCTAATTGCCTTCACTGTCTCTTAGTCTAAAGGGATTTATAAGCTATTAAATAAATTCAGGGCTTTTGGTCATTTGGATAAATTTAGCTCTGCTTAGAAGATACCTAAACATATACACAGTTTACTTCTTAGCTTGCATTCTCCAGATAGTTGCATCTTGAATTTTTCTTACCATTTCTCTAATTTCCAGCTCACCTGAGTTTGTCTTGGACAAAAGTATACCAATAAGATATATTTGACTCAAAAATAAAAAGAATCTGATCTTGAGCCCTTCAGTTTATAGGTAGCTTCTAGAGCTACAGAGATTAAGTTTCCAAAACTTTTCTATTAGCTTATCTTTTTGTCTGTTTTTCTAAATTTGCTAATCACATACATTTACTCTTTAGGGTAAATCTGTAGCCCTGTGTACTTATACATTACTAAAGGAAGAAAGTGTAAGGTAGGGGTCAAATGATTTTCAGAATTTATTTAGTCAAATTCTGTGGGAACTTGAGTTGATGATTTTGTACTTCATTTTTATAATTTGGAGGTGGCATAATAATTGACAGTATCTGAAAAGCTCCATTAACAATTATACAGAGAGACTAACCCACTGAGAAAGGGTGCTTCTTCCCACAATAAAAGGAAGCATGTATTTGGAATGAGAGATCACATTGGTGTGGGCTGGTGAGCAGAATCATGGGCAAGGGATGGGTATTTGGTCCAATGCAGACTTAGTGACATCAGCCTACAAAATCTAAGAGATTATCTGAATCTCACAACATCAAAGAAATATATTGGTAGGGGAAGGATTGTTAATGGATAGAGCCACAATTCCTTCTCAGGGGGGAAGAAATTTACTGCAGCATAAACTTCTATGCAAGTAAAAGCAATACAGTACCTAAGGATGCTGAGGATTAAGAATAATGATCCTTCTTGATTTTAAGTCTAGAAACAATCCTGAGGCTTCCAGGAACATCTTCCAAATTGCCTCCTAAACATGTCTTATGCCAAGCTGATGATGAGAAGAAATACTAAGGGGTGATAGAAGTGGTTGGGAATGAGGAGAAGGAAGTACAACAGAAGGAAAAAATTATTCTTTCTAAGGGAAAACAAATTCTTCTTTGTCATTTGTATAGAGGAAGTTTGTTATAAGCCTTGAATGTAAAGGGTACTTTATAAACTAAGTAAGTCACACTAATACTTGGGAATGGACTTCCCAGGCGGCACAGTGGTAAAGAATCAGCCTGCCAGTGCAGGAGACGCAGGAGACATGGGTTTGATCCCTGGGTCAGGGAGGTCCCCTGGAGTAGGAGATGGCAAAAATTTCAGTATTTCTTGCCTGGAAAAGCCTATGGACAGAGGAGCTTGGAAGGCTACAGTCCAGGGCATCGCGAAGAGTCGGACATGACTTAGCACACACACGTGTGTCAAGTTCAATACCTGGGAAGCTAAATAGGGTTTATCTCCTATTGATTAATAATGCCTAGTTTGTGGAATCAAAGAATTACAAAGTCCTGAGGTTATGGTTGATTAACCATGTCTGTAAGTGCTCAAGAATGAGAGGTGGAATGTCTCCTGCCACTAATTTATTATAGCTACCTTCTGCAGATGAAGCAAGCATCTTTAAAGTGCTTTAGCAGTAGTACCAGCAGCCATAGTAAATTGTCTCACATCAAACTTCTTTCTACATAACACCCCATTCAGCTTCCCTCAGACATAAAGTGGCATCTTCATTTTGATGTCTTGGCATTTGCTCTCTATAAGTTATACCTGTCTCCAAGAGTATTTACTTCACTATAGCTTGTCACTGAAACAACATGACGACTAGTAGACAGCTTGATATAACTGTTGACTCCATTGGACTTTCATTCTCTCCTGAATTTCAGCTTCTATAGTGGTGGATTAGCCACAGCAGGTATATGAGTAGAAGACAAACTCATCAGTAACAAATTTGCTCAAATTTAGCATTGGCAAAGAATCAAAAGTCAAATCCACTTGGCAAACATAGAAGTGTTTATGTGTATTAAAGGGTGAAGGTATTGCATGTATATGTATGTGTGAAGTGATGGCATGTATATAACCCACTGAATCTTCTCCACCATTGTATTTATTTCTTTTATAAGTGGACCCTTCACAAATGTTAGCTACAGGAATCTTCTGTGTAAACTATTTCCAGTTGTATTAGTACTACTTTTAAAAAAATATACAGAAAAAGTTTTTGTATCAGTAGGAAGAAACTGCACCCCAAAAGGAAAACATGGTAATTACCTTGCAATAATTAAGTATGTGTCCTCCAAATGGCATGTCTCTATGAAAACATGAAAGCTGCCTACAGGGGCAGGTGTCACAGGTTTGGCTTCTTCTTATCCAGCATGGTATTGTCCAATATGGTATCTGCATGTCACTATTTAAATTTAGATTTGTTAAAATTAAATAAAATTTAGACTTGTGGACACAGCAGGGGAAGGAGCAGTGGAACAAACTGAAAGAGTAGCGTTGAAACATATATATTACCATATGTAAATCAGATAGCTCATATGTAAAACAGGAAGCTCACGCCAGTGCTCTGTGACAACCTAGTGGGTGGAATGGGGTGACGGGTGGGAGGGAGGTTCCAGAAGGAGGGAACATATACATAAGTATGGCTGATTCACATTGTTATATGGCAGAAACCAACATGACATTCACTGGAAAGCAATTATCCTCCAATTAAAATTTTTTTCAAATGAATTTTTAAAAAATTAAATAAAATTCAAAATTCACTTCTTTAGTCATACTAGCTCTATTTCAGGTGCTCAAAAGCCACGTGTGGCTTGTGACTATCACACTCAAAAGCACAGGGAACATTCCATTATCACAGGATGCTCTATTGGAGTAGAACCTGAGGAGGATGAGAAAAAACATTTCCAAATTATAACTAGCTTTCGGTAGACGGAATTGGATTATTTCTACAAATCTTAAAGCACTATAAAGAAGGCATATCCTTGACATTTAAATGTTAAATTAAGACCAGTTTCCTTGATAAGTAGTGAGATATAAACATAAAGAACTTTACAGCCAACAATAAAATAATTTTTTAAATGACCATGGAAAGTCATAGATGATAGTTCAACAACTGAATTCCTCTTGAAACAAAAAAACTTGTGTCTAGTTGTGTGGTGGGAAGCAGTAATCTTTGAAGAAGCAGCGGCTTCCTTTTATCGTTGTTGTTTAGTCGTTAAGTTGTGTCTGACTCTTTGCCACCCCATGGGCTGCAGCACACCAGTCTTCCGTGTCCTTCACTATCTCCTAGAGTTTGCAACTTTGTTTTATAATTACTCCAAAAACTTACATTCCATTTCAAATCCTACCATTTCAAATAGACCTGAAAACGTTTCCAATACATTTGCGTAAAGTTCTTTGCTACTGTGGGATCAAAATCAGGTTTAAGAGCACATCACAAGCAAATACTATCATTGTTGAATATTTATGAAGCACTTGCAATGTATACAGAGCTGTGCTAGTTTCTTTGAGAGCTAGCAGTTTAACAAGTGGCTGCCTCCATACTCAAGTGAATCTCATTAACAGAATAATTCAAATTTGAGAGGGGCAAACACTTAAAACACGTGCTGTACTGATTAATGGGTAGTGGAAAGAAGAATGCTACTGCTTGAAAATATAATAGTAATATAGTCTTTGCTAAAAATAAGCCTATGAATACAATAAATATATTTACAAATAGTGAGAAGGAATTTTTTATTTATCAGGGAAGTTCAGTAAGTTTATTTTGGCAAGTGCTGTAATTCTTTTTCCCAAATATGTCACCACTTACTATAGAAAGGGACATAAAACTGAAAAACTGGCTCATCCGTGTTTCTGAAATGAATGCAACATTTATTCTAAACTAATATTGAAGCCATTGTCTGCAAAGTGCTTGATTTAGGATGAAGACTGATGATTTCAAAATGTAATCATTTTTTTTTTGTTGTTTTTTCTTTGAAAATATTTAAGTTGTTCAGTGACTTGATAAGTCAGTTTTTTGGAAGAGGCATAACAGCAGAATTCTGAACCTAAAATTGTTAAATGTAGGGTCTTGTCTGGGTTCGTTCCCACATCTTTTATCAGCTGCAGGTTAGTTCTACAATTAGGACGTGTAGTTGGCTTTGACTGAGATGGCTCTGTCCTGTTTCACATCTCTTATCCTCCAGCAGGCACTCACTCACACAGGCACTGTTTAAGCCTCTGTATTGTGTGTGTGCGTGCGTGCCAAGTCGTTTCAGTCATGTCTGACTCTTTGCAGCCCCATGGACCGTAGCCTGCCAGGCTCCTCTGTCCATGGGAATTCTCCAGGCAAGAACACTGGAGTGGGTTGCCGTGCCCTCCGCCACAGGATCTTGGTGATCCAGGGCTCGAACCTGTGTCCTCTGTGACCCCTACACTCTAGGCAGATTCTTCACCACTGAGCCACCAGGGAAGCCCTCTGTGCGTTTGTCTGCTTAGTCGCTCAGTCGTGTCCAACTCTTTGTGAGCCCATGGACTGTAGCCCGCCAGGTTCCTCTGTCCATGGGGATTCTCCAGACAAGAATACTGGTGTGGGTTGCCAGGTCCTCCTCCAGGGGATCTTCCCAACCCAGGGATCAAACCCAAGTTTCCCACATTGCAGACAGATTCTTTACCCCCTGAGCCACCAGGGAAGCTTACATACATCAATATCCCATGGGCCCAGAACATGACCCTGAGTCAGAGGGGTGGAGCAGGATGCCTGCACAGAATGTAAGGGCATTGCAAATTTATATGAGAAAGAGAGGGCAAATAGGCAAAAGGCATCAGGGGTATTAAAGCAGCCGATCCACTACAATATCTGTTTCACCCAGCTTGCTTAGTTGCTCAGGCTCCTCTGTTCTTGGGGATTCTCCAGGCAAGAATACTGGAGTAGTCTGCCATGCCCTCCTCAAGGAGATCTTCCCAACCCAGGGATTGGACCCAGGTATCCTGCACTTCAGGCAGATTCTTTACCATCTGAGCCACCAGGGAAACCCAAGAATACTGGAGCAGACATCCCTTCTCCAGGGATCTTCCCGACCCAGGAATCAAACTGGGGTCTCCTGCATTGCAAGCAGATTCTTTACCAGCTGAGCTACCAGGGAAGCCCATTTCACCTACAGAGTATAGAAATCTAAAGCAAGGAGGTGTGGAAAGAGGTTTAAAAAGAGATACTACAATTGCAGCAGTATTTACAATAGCCAGGACATGGACGCAACCTAAATTTCCATCAACAAAGGAATAGATAAAGATGATGTGGTACATATATACAATGAAATATTACTCAGCCATTAAAAGGAAGTGAATTGTGCCATTTGTAGAGACAGAGATGGACCTAGGGATTGTCATACAGAGTGAAGTCAGTTAGAAAGAAAAAAAGCAAATATTGTGTAATAACGCTCCTATGTAGAAAAATGATAAAGGTGTACTTATTTGCAAAGCAGAAATAGAGACTCAGATGTAGAGACGTGAAGGCAAATGATGTGGCTTACTTAAAATCATGTTTCTCACCCTGTTCTACATCCTTGGTCTTACCCAACCTGCTATTTAGAAAATGGTGAGATTATAGGGTCTTAGCTGACAATCCAGAAATCCTAACACTTAGGAGGGAAGTTAATGATGAGTGTTGGTTGACATTTGAATAGATACTACGTGGTAGTTTGGGATTTTTGTGAATTTTATTTTCCCCACAAGTAGAAAGAACAAGGAAGCGTGCCTTCTAACTTCATGGCAATGGGAAATACATCTGTGAGTATTTCAGTTTCTTCCTAGCTTAGACTTAGTTCTCACTATGCACATAAACCATTACAGACAGCCCTGAATATAACCTTTCATCAAATGTGGAGTGTAAACCAAGGAACTCAGGGGCGACGGGACTTGGACTCTGTGCATTTTATGCTGAGGAGACAGTCATCGTGAGCTCTCGAACTCCCAGTGGTTAACGAGAGAGATAATCACAAGTGCCCTTTTCGACTTTTGTCTCCCGCCAGCTGTGAAGTTCGGGAGGATGTCCAAGAAGCAGAGAGACAGCCTGTATGCTGAGGTGCAGAAGCACCAGCAGCGGCTGCAGGAGCAGCGGCAGCAGCAGGGCGGGGAGGCGGAGGCCCTCGCCCGGGTGTACGGCGGCGGCCTCGGCAACGGCCTCGGCGCCCTGAACAACGAGGCCAGCGGCACGTACGCCAATGGACCCGTCATCGACCTGCCCAAGTCCGAGGGATACTACAACGTGGATTCCGGCCAGCCGTCCCCCGATCAGTCAGGACTTGACATGACTGGGATCAAGCAGATAAAGCAAGAACCTATCTATGACCTCACATCCGTACCCAACCTGTTTACCTATAGCTCTTTCAACAACGGGCAGTTAGCACCAGGGATAACAATGAGTGAAATCGGTAAGTGGAAATCTTCCAGCACATTTTTGGAAATTCTACTTTGAAGTGGCCTTGGTCCTATTTAGTAACATCATTTTCTTAGGCCTAAGGTGAATCACTTGCTTTCATGACTTCTAACGAGAAAACGAATTGATTTTAAAATATAGTCTAATAACTGTCATTGTTCCCAAGGCCCATAAAAGTTTATTTCAAGCAAAGGAAGAAAGAGGGAATTATAAATAGATGCTATCTGTAAAGAACAGATGCTATCTGTTGGATTTGGGTTCATCACTGAAGGAAAAATGTTATTGGTATAAACAAAATTTCAGCAAGTGTTCAAAGTGATGCTATTAAAAGTGATATAGCTAAGGGATATAGAAGCAGTATGTAGAAGAAAGTGAATGAACAGGGCTCCAACTCGCTAAGATAACTGGGGACAAATGTCAGTTTCCTTCTGTGTAGAGGCAGAAGGATAGACCAGAAGACCTCTAAGGCTCTTGTAAATCTCAATTCAAGAATTTTACATCAGAATAAAGTCCGCATTACTGGCAATAAAAAGAGTATAGTCCACCTTGGATCTGGAATGTAAAGAGGATGTGAAAAACTTGGTGGAATCCAAATAAAGTCTAGAGTTCAGTGTAAAACAAAGAAAAAAGACTGTAGTTACAGAAGAGCAACAAATAAGCCCCACTGGGGCAAGTCCCAGGCACTGCTGCCTGAGAAACACTACGCTCTTGCTTTGGCAGCATCCTTGCTAAGGAGTGGTGCTCAAGACTACATCTGCCTAGGTGCTCTGTCTTCTCTCCTCACAACTCTTTTACCCTGTTAAGCTTAGGAGTCTGTTAACTGTCTAATAGGTTGATTTTATTCAGTAATTGCCATGAAAATATGGATATAGGTTTAACACATTAGCCTCCTGGGTAACAGAGCTGCCTGTTAACCGAGTCCTGGAGAAGCTCACAGGCAGTGGCTATAGCAGGCTTCTTTGCAGTATTCTGTGCACAGGGGAAAGCAGTGTGGAGCTCAGAAGTCTGAGGCCTCCTCAGATCTCTCCCTAAAAGGTAGCAGAAAAGAGCGGTTAAGAACCAGGCCACTTGCAGACTTCCCTGGTGATCTAGTCATTAAGACCCTGCTCTTCCACTGCAAGTTCAATCTCTGGTTGGGGAACTATGATCGCACTGGCATGGTCAAAAAAAAAAAAAAAAACAAAGGCCAAAAAAAAGATTCTAGGCCACTTGAATTCAAATCCTGGATCTGTGGCCTATTATCTGAGCTGGAAAGCAAGTTTCTCAATCCCAGTTTGCTTATTCTATTTGTTTCGCCAAAAGTACTAGCTCATAGCTCTCACCATTGTTGTAAGAATTCAACGAGTTCATACATGTAAAATAGAGCCACGAAAAAAAATAAAATAAAATAGAACCACATTTGGAACCCAGTAAGCACTCAGTAGCTCTGAGCTGTTTTCACTTATCCACCACGTGTTCAGTCACCTTCTCTGTCTAAACAGTGAGTAGGAGCCCAAAGCCTACGAGTGTTTTAAATAAAGTGGATGTGAACACATAACGAAGGACATGCCATATGTATCTTGGCTACTTCTACCATCTGGCTGAGGAAGAAGTGATGTGACACAGTTACAAAACCTGAAACATTATTTCTCTCTCTCAGCAATTCAGCCTATGGCAGTGAGCAAAGAAGTGGTTGACAAAGCCCTTGTAACAACATCCACAGCTGAGGGATGTAGAAAACTGCCCATCAGCGTTGATAACAAAAATATTCATTCGATTTCTCTCCTTAAACAGGCACCATGTCACAGGCACTTCACACACTTAATTTTCACAAGCATCTTAAAAGTAAAACTATTATTCCCATTTTACTGATGAGGAAACAGAGGCTCAGAGATGTCTCATGACCTGCCCATATCCTTTGATTACTAAAGGATAGAGCCACCTTCCATCCCAGGCTATCTGACTCTGGAGTTCTTGTGCTCATCCATTATCCCACTATTTGCTCTGGGCTTAAAGTCCACAAACTGCACTGTCAATCAATAGAGGACAATCTGTTTAAGTAGAGTCACTCAGTCTTTCCAGGAGAACATGTTAAAAGGGAAAGGAACTAGGTACCATAATTTGCTTTTATCCTACTTAGTATCTGAGTGCCCGAGTTTGCTACTGATTTGGAACACATGTCTAAAACATACGGAAGCAGAAACAATTGTTGGGCAGTCTTCTGTTCCATACAGAAAAAGGAAAGACTTCTAAGAATTCAAAAATCTTCGTGATTTAATTTCTAAATCACAGTTTCTTTGCGATTTAGAATCAGTAGGAGGTATTATAGAAAGAGAACTGCAGCCCAAAACATGAACTTTAGGTAACTCTACCCACGTCATTTTCCTTCTGGTCTGAACTAGATAATCTCCAAATCCATCCAGATTTTCTACACAGACATTGACCCCAAAATAAACTAGCATTTATCTTTTCTTATTTCAAGGTACTATTAGTCTTTAGAGATCTCTAGATCTGCTGTAAATTTTGGAGGTTTCTTCCATCAGACTTTTAGGGATGCAATTAGATTGTCCTCCGAGAGCTCTCAAATTTAGCTGGCTCCTAAGCCTAAGCATTGCCGTGGTTCCCATTTCGTTAAAACGGCAACGCCATCTAGTGGACACAAACTCCTCCGCGCGTCGGATGGAGATACCTACCGGAGCCGCAACAATGTGATGCGCAGTGCTTTCCTGCACCACCTAAAAGACTTCCATTCATTTCACTAGAGCACCATAACCGTCTCTGTGGGCAGGAGGGCCCAGTGATGCACAGTAGTTAAGAACTTTGGTTCTACAGTCGGACAGCCTGAGTTCAAAACCTGGCTGCGGCTTTCCCTTCAGTTTACCTAAGCTGAGTCTCAGTTGCAAACCTGAGACGAGAATAACCCCAACCTGTGCATGTGGCTTAAATTAGTTAATATTTGAAAATCCTTAGAACAGTATCTGTCCTGCATAAGCCTTATCATCATTGCTATTATCAGTATAATTTATATCATAAAGTTATTCATCTCCTTATTAGCTAATAGCATTCCTAGTCGTTACAAGTTATGTAATTACCTTTTACTGAGCACCTACATGTTGCCAAAATATATTTAATGCTTATAACAGCCCTCTTATGCCTGCTATATAAGTATTTGTATATCCATTTTGCAGGTGAAAACATTGAGTCTCAAAAGTTAGAAAACTTGTTAAAAGCAGAGTGAGCCAGTGAACCCAGGTCAGAGTAACAGCAAAACCCTCTCTTAACGATGTTTCTTCCCATCAAACAAAGGGAGCCCCTCACTAGCTAAGAAAAGGGCAAAAGGAAGCTGCAAATTAATAATTAGGCATCAGGTCTACCTAGTTTTAGCAGGAATTTTATTTCAAGCTGGCATGGTGGATGTGTTCATCTTTACAAATGAGATTTTGCAGTGGTTGGTGGCAGGGAGAGGAAGCTTTCTAGAGGCAGGCTGGCAAACTAGCTGAGAAAGAAAGTGGAAGGTTGTGCCTTAGCTCCCTCACCACAGCCCTCAGATGAGGTTAAAGATTCTGCAGGACTAATACTCTTAATGAAAGCTCATTTAAGCTCAAAGATGATTGACAGTGTATCTATGAGATACCAGTTCAGTTCAGTTCAGTCGCTCAGTCGTGCCTGACTCTCTGCGACCCCACGAATCGCAGCACGCCAGGCCTCCCTGTCCATCACCAACTCCCGGAGTTTACCCAAACCCATGTTCATTTAGTCAGTGATGCCATCCAGCCATCTCATCCTCTGTCGTCTCCTTCTCCTCCTGCCCCCAATCCCTCCCAGCATCAGGGTCTTTTAAAATGAGTCAGCTCTTCACATCAGGTGGCCAAAGTATTGGAGTTTCAGCTTCAGCATCAGTCCTTCCAATGAACACCCAGGACTGATCTCCTTTAGGATGGACCGGTTGGATCTTTCTGCAGTCCAAGGGACTCTCAAACAAGACAATTCACACAGCCAATCAATGTGCTTTTAAAAACAGAGGTGGGGGGGGAAATCCATCAAATTAGCTTTGATGCTAATGGTATAGACTGCCTTTCACATATATCGTCTATGTTTGCTGTTCAGTAATTTTCTCTCCAGATAGACAATGAAATGTGAATTCATTGATCCCTCCTATATAATCTTAACTGTAGATTTATTTTCCTATTCCTTTTGTGTTCTGTTTATGAAACCTGGAATTTTAAACATCAGAAAATAGAAATAAACCTCTTTTAGCAAATTCTTCTATTCAGAAGCTGAGTATTAATAGAGAAGTTTACAAAAAGGGATTGGCCTAAAGGTGATCTAATCCCTGTGATGTACTACTTTTTTTTATCAAAGCTAAATAGACACATGGAAGATATTTCGAGTGCTCTTTTATTGGGGAAAATTCTATAAAACTTGATTGTGTTTCAGTTGTTCTTTACTAAGAACACCAAGCAAGTGCTATAGTCATAAGGCAGCATTTTTAATGGCATAGGCTTTTTGAGGTAAATATCTTATAACTGCTTAAATCTATTATGCATATTCAACTGCTCATTGAGAAATGGTACAGAGAATAGAGTTTAACTCCAGCTATGTATTTTCTATGCCTTCTAGTGGCACCTGTATCAAACACACATAGGCATTCAGTTTAGGAGCAAGTGCCTAATACGTCATTAAAAATGAATAAAAGTAGACTAAACTAGTGAGGAAAACCATTCAAGCAGGTTAGGGAAATGAAAATCCAGTGTCTTTAGTTCTTCCTTTTTTGCCTTGATGAAAGACATCTTGTGAACTTCCATTGTTATCTGACACTCCTGTCACCCTCACCCAAACACAGGTCCTACGCAGGCAGTTTAGGAAATCTTGACTCCACATGCTAGTCATGTGAACTTGTTCAAAATTAGTTCAGCTCTCTGGAACTCAGACTCTTCATCTGAAAAATAAGGCCGATGGACTAAATGATTTTGAAGGATTATGGTTCTCCCATCTCCTGGTGGATGCTCTGGGCCT